GTGGGGTGGGGGGTGATGTGGGGACAGGGACACATATGTAATATCTTAATCAATAAAAAATATATTAAAAAACTAAAATTAAAAGCAATATCATGAATAAATGTCATAAACATAATATTGAGTGAAAGAAGCAAAACACAAAAGAGAATATACTCTACTATTTCATTAAAATATTTTTAAACAGGCAAAACTAAACTACATGCTCATTGGAAGTCAGGATATATGTTATAATTGAACCGGTAGTAATCTTAAGGGATCATTTGTGTGGCATCTGGGATGCTAATAACGTTTCATTTCTTCATCAAGATGCTGATACTAAGTATGTCCACTACCTGAAAATACATTGAGCTGAAATTAAGGATTTGCTCATTTTTTCTGTGTGTACATTACAATTCCATAAAAATTTTGTTAAAAAAAGTTTGTCAGTGAGGTAAGAGCCAGAAAGGAGGAGTATATAGAAAATTGTTGCTTTCATCATGTTTTCTCACATATTTATCAAATACAGGTTTTCCTTTCAAAATAAAATTCAAAAAACATGTAACAATACTTTTTAAATTTTTGCTATTAAGCATCAAATATACTTAGAGTTTGGTGAAACAATGGACTGAATACAATTAATATTTCATTTTATTAAGACAGTTAATCGCAACAAATGCCAGGAAGCGGAACAAACATTACAGGAACATCACCAGCATGTGGGGTGGGGATTTGAAATGGCATTATGCAAATGTAAGGGTCTAGATTTGAGTTTTCCAAAATTGGACAAGATAAAGTCCAATGGACAAACCTGTTGCAAAAAGGGAAATCCGGGCTATACTCCAAGGTGGGATTTTTGTCCATGACACTCTCAAACTCTGTATCTGGAGACATTAAAGATGTTACAAAAGACACTGCATCATGACGAGATTCCTAATTGAATCCGAAGTTGCTTTGAAAGGTCGTGTTTCCCTCTGTTTCTTTGATAGCGCCTTGGGGCGGAAGGTTGGGGATAATTGGCTTCAAGAATTTGAACTCATTGGATCCGGCGCCTCCCGTCAGCACCTCATACATGACCAGGTGCACGGTCAGCGGGTCGGCCGGCGCCGGGTCGGCCGCCGCTTCGGGCAGCGGCAGGTGGGGCTGCGAGAAGCCGTCCACCAGCAGCACGTGCAGCGTGACGCTGGCCGACAGCGCGGGCTCGCCATGGTCCCTGACCAGCACCAGCAGCCGGTGCCGGGCCGCGTCGCGCTCGCTCAGCAGCCGCGCCGTGCGCACCTCGCCATTGTGCGCCCACACGCCGAACAGCCCGGGCTCCGTGGCCTTGAGCAGCTGGAACGACAGCCAGGCGTTCTGGCCCGAGTCCGCGTCCACCGCCACCACCTTGCTCACCAGGTAGCCCGGCTCGGCCGCCCTGGGCACCAGCTCGGTGCAGGGCGCGGAGCCGTTCTGCAGCGGGTACAGCACGAAGGGCGCGTGGTCGTTGGCGTCCAGCACCTGCACGCGCACCAGCGCCTGGCTGCTCAGCGCGGGGGACCCGCGGTCCGTGGCGCCCACGCGGAACTCGAACGCCGGCAGCGCCTCGAAGTCCAGCGCCCTCAGGGCGAACAGGCGGCCGTTGTCCGCGTTGATGGACACGAGCGAGGCCAGGGGCAGGCGCGGGTCGTGGGGCGGCAGCAGTGAGTAGGTGAGCTGGGCGTTGGCGCCCGCGTCGCTGTCTGTGGCGCTGACGCTGCCGATGTGCAGGGCGGGGCTGTTGTTCTCGCGGAGGAACAGGGTGTAGGCGGTTTGGGTGAAGGCGGGGGCGTTGTCGTTGACGTCGGAGACCAGCAGGGTGATGTTGTGCTGGGTTTCCAGCCTGGGGGTCCCCAAGTCGGTGACGGTGATGGTGACGTTGTACTGGGCTCTGCTCTCCCTGTCCAGTGGCCTCTCTGTCACGAGGGTGTAGAAGTTCGTGAATGTGGGTTTCAAGAGAAAAGGAATATCGTCCTGGATGGAACAGACCATCCTGCCATTGTCCCCGGAATCTGGATCAGAAACACTGAAAACAGCAACTACAGTCTCTGGGGAGTTTTCTGGGGTCGAGCTGGCGACTTCCGACAGCGTCAGTTCCGGGGCGTTGTCATTCACATCCAGCACCTGGATAGCTACAGAGCATTTCCCTGAGAGGCCTCCACCGTCTGTGGCTGCAATTTGCATATTATAATACTGAGTTGCCTCGAAATCCAATGCCCTTTTCAGACGAATTTCTCCCGTTATTTCATCTATTACAAATGGTTGAGTAACTTCATCGCCTTGGAATAGAGTGTAAGTTACATGCCCATACGTTCCGGCATCTGAATCACGGGCGGCGACAGTAACAACTAAGGAGTTTAGGGGGCTGTTTTCCAGGACCTGTGCCTCATAGAGAGACTGTAGAAACTCGGGGGCGTTGTCATTGATGTCCAGGACTTCGATGCGGAGGGCAGTGGTCCCTGACCTGGGCGGAGCCCCACCATCCAGCGCGGTGAGGGTTAAACTGAGCTGGGGCTGCTCCTCCCGGTCCAGCGCTTTGTCTAGCACGAGCTCGGGGTGTTTTCTGCCATCTCCGCGATTATGAGTGACAACATGGAAATGGGGGTTGGGGCTGATGGAGTAGTTCTGAACAGTGTTGCTACCTATGTCCAAGTCCTGAGCTGTTTTCAAAGGAAACACAGTGCCTGGCTGGACGCTCTCTGGGATTTTTAGGAGCATTTCCCTGTCTAGGAACTCGGGGGAATGGTCATTTATATCCGTGAGCTGCAGATCAGCTTGAAAAGCCTGCACCGGCTTTCCCAGTAACAGCTGGAATTGCAGTACGCAGGGATCTGTAGCCCCGCACAGCACCTCCCGGTCTAGTTTTTCATATAGAAGCAAATCCCCTGTCTGTATATCAAGCTGAAAGGGCTGTTTGTTTCCTCGGGAATGGATTCGCGCGCCCCGAGTGGCCAGTTCCCCCACCCTGAGCCCCAGGTCTTTTGCCAGGTTGCCCACAAAGGAGCCACTTTCCGTCTCTTCTGGCATGGAGTACCTAATTGCTTCCGAGCCAGCCTCCCACAGAAACAGCAATACAACAAGAAAGACAACTTGCCTTTTCCGCGGCGTTCCTGCTAGCGCGGTCTCCATTGTGCAGACCCAGTTCAAGAAGGTGCAGTTTCTTCAACCCGGTACAACCAGTCCGGAGGGCTTCGGTAAATAACCTCGAATTAGATCTTTCTGGCTGAGTCGCACTAGAACGATGCCCTCTCTGAAGGTCTCTGCCCCTAGATCTGAACTGAAATGCTGCCTTCTTTTAGGAAGCAGTCAACGTTCTGATTTCCCAGCTTAATGGCGACCCGGGTCCACAGAGCTCTTCATTCGAACTCCTAGCCTGCAGCGCCACCAGGCGTCCGGACTTACTATTGCAAATAGTATTTGCTATTCATTCCAATTTATAACTCTGGTGTGTATCAATACCTTTTTAAGTCCCAGAAACCTCCAGTTCTTAGTTATTGGAAGCTCTAAATAAACATTTACTGCACTAACTTTAAGTGAAAGAATACTTTTCAGAATAAACTGAAATGATGTATGAGCTTTCTTCAAGAAAGTACCTTTTGAGTACGTGAAGAAACTTTGAGAGTTTTCTGTTTTAGTATATTTAAGAAATAAGTGATATGAATGCTTACAAACGTCTACAATTTTACAAAAATTATTTTTTAAATTTATTGATTTTAGAGAGGGGAGGGAAGGAGGCACACAGAGAGAAAAACAGATGTGTTGTTCCACTTACTTCTGCATTCATTGATAGCTTCTTGTATGTGGTCTGGCAGGGGGTGGAACCCACAACCTTGGCATGAGGGGAGGACACTGTAACCAACGGAGCTTCCTGGCCAGAGCCTACAAAAATTACTGTTATCTTTAAACATAGCATACGTCAGGAAAGGGTACAAATCATAAGTGTACAATTCAAAGAATTTTCACGAAGTGAATGCACTCCTATAAGCAGAACCAAATTAAAACTGAAATGTTATCAATACCCTGCAAGCCTCCTTCTGTCTTTGGCCACAACGCCCCCCCCCAAAGGTAAGCACTCTCCTAACTTCTATTATTTTATATTTTTTTAACATTTATACAAACGGAGTTACAGAGTATTTGATCTTTTGTGTTTTCCTTCTTTCACTCAACATTATGTTTGTAAAATGTATCTGTTGTATATTGTTCTGAATTATTCTCATTGCTTATAGCATTCTATTGTATGACTATACCATGATGTGTTTATCCATTCTTCAGTTGATGGACATTGGGGTTTTCCGGTTTGGGGATATTTTTAGTATTGCTGCTATAAACATTCTCGTACACATCTTTTGGTGTCTGTGTGTGCATTTATGTTTAATATATTCCTACGAGTTAGGTTTCTGTGCATTAAGGTGTACACATATATTTAGCTTTAGGAGATATTGCAAAAACAGTTTTCAAATGCAGTTTTACCCAAACCAGCAAAGACTGAGAGTTCCAGTTGCTCCATATCCTTATCAACATTTGATATTGTCTTTTTATATTAACCACTCTGGTCAGTGCAGGATGATATCATATTGTAACTTTACTATTTCCATGATGATCGATTAAATTGAGCACATTTCCACATGCTTGTTGGCCATTAGGATACATTCTTGTAAGTTCTTGAAAAGCTTTTGTCTATTTCTCTATTTGGGATATTTGCCTTTTTTTTCTGATTCGTCTTTAGAAGTTCTTAATATATTCTGGGTAAAAGTACTTTTTCAGAATATGTGTTGCAAATATCTTCTCCCACTCTATGGCTTGGATTTTAACTCTCTTATAGCATCTTTCATGAACCAAACTTCCTAAACTTTAATAGTCTAAACTGTCAATATTTCTCAGTGGCTATGGTTAGCACTATTTGTTTTCTCTTTAAGTCTTTGCATACCCCAACATCATAAAAACATTCTTGCCGAAATCGGTTTGGCTCAGTGGATAGAGCGTCGGCCTGCGGACTGAAGGGTCCTGGGTTCGATTCCGGTCAAGGGCATGTGCCTGGGTTGCGGGCACATCCCCAGTAGGAGATGTGCAGGAGGCAGCTGATCGATGTTTCTCTCTCATCGATGTTTCTAGCTCTCTCTCTCTCTCCCTTCTTCTCTGTAAAAAATCAATAAAATATATTTTTTTAAAAAAACATTCTTGTATGGTGTTTTTGAAAAATTAATTACTTTAGTTTTCACATTTAGAGCTATAATCCTTTGAAGTTAATTTTTTTCATATGAATGAGATTAGGGTCAAAAATTTTGTTTTCATATGAACATCCAAGTGATTTTCTACCATTTATTGAAAAGAGGATCCATTCCCCATTGTTTATGAAGTGTCACTTAAAAAATAAGTGTCAATCAATAAATCAGTAACCATAGGTCTATTAAGAATTTTTTCAATGTTTTTCGTTGTTTATGCTGTAATACAATATAGCCTTAATTAATGTAGCTTCATAACAGGTTTATTATCTGATGGATAAGTCCTCCAGTTCTATTCTTTTTCTTCAAGACTGCTTTGGTTATTATTGTCCCTTTGTATTTCTATATAGACTTTAGATTCAGTCTGTCAATTTCCACAAAGAAATCTGCTGAAATTTTGTTTAGGATTTATTACATCTATAGATTAATTAGGGAGAACTGACATCATTCCCAACATTGAGTTTTCCAACTATTAAACATTACACATACTGCTATTTAAGATATTTAGCTTCCAATCTCTATTTCTGTTTTGCAACAATAGAATTGTCCTATTTTTCCTATTTCATGTATTTTGTGGAAGTTATCTGAATAATGTTTACTACTAAATTCTAATAATTGAATTTCAAAATGTTGATTTGTCCTACACCAGTCTGGTGGTGATCCCTAGGGGGTAAAGAATGGCCCGTGCTTGCTCAGTGGCTGAGCATCGACCAATGATCCAGGAGGTCATGGTTCCATTCCTGGTCAGAACACATGCCTGGGTTGCCCATGTTGCTCAACCCCCACTGGGGGGCATGCAGGAGACAGCCGATCAATGATTCTCTCCCATCATTGATGTTTTTCTCTCTCCCTCCCTCTTCCTTCCTCTCTGAAATCAATAAATATATATATATATATATTAAAAAAGAATGGCCTATGCTTTATCAATATACACAGTAATTCATAAAGTAATACACAGAGTAATTAGTAAATTTACTACATAAATTCATAAAGGTGTGTTCTGGGTGTTTAGTCAATCTCATTTGGTTGATTATACAAATTGAACTTTCCTGGCAGAAACAGAAAAAGTGGACTTGGATTTTTATACTGGTGAAATGTCACCATTTTATACTGGTGAAAATGTCAATCAGATTTCTTGTTATACATAAAAGGACACATTTGTAATACCTTAACTAACAATAAAAAAAATTACCTGACTCTTTTGAGAGGTCGGGAGAAGCTGCAGAAAACCAAGAGAAACATACAAAAGGAAGGACAAGGAAGTATATCATGCCCTGCACATCTCAAGTCCTCTGAAAGGACTTACATTTTAATTAAGATTCTGGGATTCTTTTTGAAACCAAGCAATGACTTAGTTTTACTTAGTAAAAGTGATTCCAAATTATATAAGATTTACTCTTTGATGATTAGTTATAATAGAGAATAATTTTTTAAAATTATAACATTAGTGAGTATTTATGGAGTATATACAATGCACAAGGCAATCAAATAAGAAAATCTCTAGCATTTATGATGCCCACAATGGGAGGTCACAATTTTGGAGTGTTAATATTTAATGAAGTGCATGTTTAGGTACAATTTGGGAGAAACAAGTATGCAAAATTATATGCTCATGCTTAGTCAGGGGGCATAGCCTGGTAGAATAGTCAACAAGAAAGGTCTAGGTAGCTAGAAAAAATTTAAAACATTCTGGTCTCACAATGATAAAGGTATATGGTAAAGACAAGAACCATGAATATATAGAAATGAAAGATTACATAAAAGCTTTAAAATGTTTCATTAAAAAGACATTAACTAATTAAGAAGTTGATTTAAACAAAATGTCTTCTTACACTACTTGAGTAATTTACAGTTATGAAAAGAGTAAACCACTGAGAAGGTCAAATATGGAGAAAATACATACTCAATGTTTGGTGTAAGTAGAAATGCAAAGTCCAATAATATTAATAAAAGAAAGAAACCTAGCATGATCAGGGGCATGCATTGGTTTGGAACAGAGATATACATATTTAGAGAACAATACAATTTCTTAAAAGAAATGCATTGCAATGGCAATTAGGTTGGCAAAAATTAAGGAGAAGCTCACTTAACTAATACAACACTTAATTGAATACAAAGCTATTCCTGCAGTTGGAATTTTCTTTCTCAGGGTCCTGAACCAAGAGGCTAGGCAATATTGGCTTCAGGAACTTGAACTCACCAGTCCCAGGGTCTCCCGTCAGACACACCTCATACTGGTAGCTCTGGGACAGGGTCCCCGTGACGTGACGTCCACCAGGCGGCCCGGAAAGGGGCCCTCAGGCACCGAGCAGCCACCCACCCAGGCGGCCCTGCTCCGCCTGCACAGCCGCACCGCGATGAACGCCAGCACCGAGAACAGGAACAGCGACGACACCGCCGCCAGCGCGATGACCAGGGGCACGGTCAGCGGGTCGGCCGGCGCCGGGTCGGCCGCCGCTTCGGGCAGCGGCAGGTGGGGCTGCGAGAAGCCGTCCACCAGCAGCACGTGCAGCGTGACGCTGGCCGACAGCGCGGGCTCGCCATGGTCCCTGACCAGCACCAGCAGCCGGTGCCGGGCCGCGTCGCGCTCGCTCAGCAGCCGCGCCGTGCGCACCTCGCCATTGTGCGCCCACACGCCGAACAGCCCGGGCTCCGTGGCCTTGAGCAGCTGGAACGACAGCCAGGCGTTCTGGCCCGAGTCCGCGTCCACCGCCACCACCTTGCTCACCAGGTAGCCCGGCTCGGCCGCCCTGGGCACCAGCTCGGTGCAGGGCGCGGAGCCGTTCTGCAGCGGGTACAGCACGAAGGGCGCGTGGTCGTTGGCGTCCAGCACCTGCACGCGCACCAGCGCCTGGCTGCTCAGCGCGGGGGACCCGCGGTCCGTGGCGCCCACGCGGAACTCGAACGCCGGCAGCGCCTCGAAGTCCAGCGCCCTCAGGGCGAACAGGCGGCCGTTGTCCGCGTTGATGGACACGAGCGAGGCCAGGGGCAGGCGCGGGTCGTGGGGCGGCAGCAGTGAGTAGGTGAGCTGGGCGTTGGCGCCCGCGTCGCTGTCTGTGGCGCTGACGCTGCCGATGTGCAGGGCGGGGCTGTTGTTCTCGCGGAGGAACAGGGTGTAGGCGGTTTGGGTGAAGGCGGGGGCGTTGTCGTTGACGTCAGAGACCAACACGGTTATGTTGTGCTGGGTTGTCAGCCTGGGGGTCCCCAAGTCGGTGACGGTGATGGTGACGTTGTACTGGGCCTGACTCTCTCTGTCCAGCGGGCTCTCTGTGACCAGGGTGTAGAAATTCTTGAAAGTCGGTTTTAGAACGAATGGCAGGTTATCTGGAATAGAGCAAATCATCTTTCCATTGTCTCCAGAGTCTCTATCTCGAATTCGGAAGATGGAGACTGTGGTCTCAGGGGCATTTTCTGGGATAGAGCTGATGAGTGACGATAGGGACAGTTCAGGGGCGTTATCGTTTACGTCCACCACCTCTATGGCTACGGTGCCTTTTCCAGAAAGGCCGCCTCCATCTGTAGCTTCAATGTCCACTTGGTAAGATTTAATTTGTTCAAAATCCAATGTCTTTGTCAGTCGGATTTCTCCTGTGACTTCATTTAATGAGAAAGTTTGCTTAATATCATCTGATGCTTGGAACAAGCCATAGGAAACTTTCCCGAAGTTTCCAGCGTCTTTATCCTTGGCTAAGACAGTAATGATCAGAGAATCTACGGGACTGTTTTCCAGGACCTGCACCTCATATGGGGTGCGCACAAACTCGGGAGCATTGTCATTAACATCCATGATCAGGATTCTCACTGTGACGCTGCTAGACCTAGGTGGAGACCCGCCATCCAGCGCCGTGAGGGTTAAGCTGAACTCGGGCTGCTCCTCTCGATCCAGCGCCTTGTCCTGCACCAAATCTGGGTATTTCTTACCCTCACTATGATTTCGAGTAAGAACGTGAAAATATGAATTGGGGCTGATAGTGTATTTTTGAAGACCATTGCAGCCCACATCCAAATCCTGAGCTAATTTCAAGGGAAAAGTAGCCCCTGGCTGGCTGTTTTCCAGTATTTTCAAGAGCATTTCCCCAGTCGGGAATACTGGGGAGTGGTCATTTATGTCCTGGACTGATAATTCTCCTTCAAAAAATTGCACCGGTGTGTCCAGCAACAGTTGGAAATGCAACACACACGGTTCAGTGGGGCCACATAGCTCTTCCCGGTCTAGTTTCTCCTGCAAAAGCAAATCTCCAGTCTGACGATCCAGCAGCAAGCGCTGCTTGTCATCGTCAGACACCACCCGGGCCGACCTGGCGGCCAGCTCCCCAAATCCCAGGCCCAGGTCCTTGCTCAGATGGGCTACGAAGGAGCCGCTCTCTGTTTCTTCCAGCACAGAATAGCGAATAGGCTCCGAGCGAGCCTGAGACAAGAACACTCCCAACATAAAGGCCATCACTTGCCTGTTTGGGTGAATTCTCTGTGGCGTCTCCATGTTGGAACCCGGTCGCTTACAGCCAGTCCCTTCAGCAGCCAAAAAGACGTGGGATTTCTTGCTTGGTGGAGTCCTCACAAGTTGCTTTGAATATTAAATTCGTTTCGTGTATCTTCCCCCAAACTCGTCGGTAACCCAGTACTGCTAGCAAAGCTCTTCCGTGTGAGTTTGATTCCGTCTTGGAACAAAGGAATACGCAAGCTTATTCATAATCTTAGCCTGCAGCGCCACCCTGCGTCTTGATTGAGAAAATAGTCTCAAGTCAAAGTATATTTTGGAAGTATCCAAAAGAAATCCATTTTTGAAGTGTATAGAGCTTTTACGAAGTTGCTATGACATTAAATTGCATAATTTATCAGGTTATGCCGTTACACTGCATGAGCTAGAATAATTGTGAGTCCAAAACAAGAGAGTATTTCGGGTCCCCCACAACCTAATCCGTGGAACTTCAAAGAATTCAATTTCCCTCTTGCATCATCTAACTAGGGGAATAAACTCTTATAAAATTACAATTAATAGAAAGTATATCTGTTTTCAAGTCTGTGAGAAATGTATGATGATGCAAAACTTTGTTAAGGTGCCCTGTACCACATAGTCTCAGGAGACTGTTTTTCAAAGGAAAGGTTCTATCCTCCTGCACTGGTGTGCAAATAGTAATACAGTGGAAAGAGGAGGCATCTTGCTTTGTTATAAGTCCTCTTACAGTTTGAACTGACTTTACATTTAGAAGGAAGTCAGGTAGTGTTAGAATCAGATTCTTAGAACTGGAGAGGAAATGAAAGGAGGCCTCATAGATAAAGCAACAAGCTCAGAGGGTAATATCAAGACAAAATCAAGTGAGTAAAAATCATAGAATTTTGTTAAAAGTAAGACTTTAAGCTTATTTAGCTAGATAAGTATCCATGTTTTATAATGAGTTTGCATTTTACCATATTCATCCTTTGTGTCCCATATATCATCTTGGCTAGATGATTTGGGTGAAAACAAGAAGCCCAGATTTAAAACATTTTAACCTGTGAGCAAAGGGTGCTTCAGGCCTTTTCCACTCATATAAGGTGCAGAGAAGAAACTTGTTTACAAAATGGATTTCAGAACAGTGCACAGCTATTGAGATTGTTCTGATAAATGAGTTTTTCATTTATAATTAGTCTATTGAATGAAGTACCACTTATCTTGGCACATATGGGATTTCCCCTCCCTAAATATCTTATAATCTACTTACTTAATGCACTTAACAAATTATAATTCATATTGAATGAATTATTTTTAAAGTCTAGCAATAATCTTAGATTCTAATAGAAATTATTAGGGAAAATTATTTTGAAAGAAGTCTGGATTATACTAGTCATTCAATAAATATCAGTTGAATAAATAATTAATCCACCCTAATGATTACGTTTCTGCCTATAGAAGAAGATTATTGCCAGATCATACATACAGCCATAAACATGTCTGAAATTGAATATAAAATTCTGAGACATGAAAGTATAATACATGCTAAACACTATTCAATTACATTTAATTTGATTCTAGTTCTAGTAATTCCTGTAAGAGATATAGCAATGGCAATAATATTAATACACTTTGGAAATACTTCATATTTCATATTTAAGACAGATGAGAGGAGATAAAATAGATGTCAATATTGAGTGAAATAAAAAAATACTGAAAAAATAAAAATAAAGGATATTATTTTAAATATAAATAAAAAACAAATCTGGAAAAAGCAAAGACCAAATTGTTTATAATATAGTAATTAAGTTCTAGTTAGATTCAAGTTAAAGAGCTCAGAACAAATATGTGCCACTATATTCCAGATATTATTCTAAGCATTTTACATGTATTAATTCATTTTTATCCCTCCAATGCCCTATGAGGTGGGCATCTTATTAGCCACATGTTATAGATGAAGAGATTGAGGGCACAGGGAGTTTAAATAACCTGCTCAAACAAAATAGAGACTGACTTATAGCCGCAGAGGGGATCGGGTGGGGCCAGGTGAAAAAGATGAAAGGATTAAGCAAAAATAAAACAAAACTCATAACCTGCTCATAGTCACACATCATGTGAAATGGCAGAGCTAGGATTCAAACTGTTACAGTATGGCTCCAGAATGCATTCTTTGATCTACCTAAGTGGAACTGGAGAAGTGAACAACTTTTTAGATCATTTAGATCAAACTTGAGCCTGATCTTGGATACATAGGCATCATAGATGAAATATATTTGTATTCAAGTTTTCAATTAATATAAGAACCTTTAAAATAGGTTGTTTCCATTTAGAGATATGTACCAGCAAAGAGAGGTGCTTACAAAACTTAGAAATTGGAAGGAAAACTGATAGTATTTTGTTGATGTCAGCAATTCAGTTAAAAAAATTAAGAGTGACTCCCTGTTGTCTTAAATATTGGAAAAAAAAATATCTATGACCCTAGCCGGTTTGGCTTAATGGTTATAGCATTGACCTGTGGAAGAAGGTTTGATTCTGGTCAGGGGCACATGCCCGGGTTGTGGGCTTGATCCCCAGTGAGGCGCATGCAGGAGGCAGCTGATCAATGATTCTCTCTCATCATTGATATTTCTATCTCTCTCTCCCCCTCCCTTCTTCTCTGAAATCAATAAAAATACATTAGAAAAAGAAAAAACATCTATGTATAGATCTTTTAAAATGGTAGTAGGACATAAAGTTAAAATCAAGAAGGGTAGCTTGAGAAATTTGTGATGAAATCTAAGGCAATTTTTAATAATTCTCTATAGTTACATACTAAATAAAAATATGGTATTTATATTTTAATTATTCAAATATCTAATGTCTAACTGATCCTACATCTTTAAAATCAGTAAGTGTGAGTCCTCCAATTTTGTTCTTTATCAAAATTGTTTTGGCTATTCTGAGTCCACTGCATTTTCATATAAATTTTAGGGTCAATTTACCAATTTTTTTGTCCCCCCCAAAAAGCTAGCTGGGATTTTGATAGAGATTGTGTTGAATCTGTTGACCAATTTGGAGGGTATCACCATTTTAACAATATTAAGTCTTCCAATCTATGAACACTTTTCATTTACTTAGGTCTTTAATTCTTTTCAATGTTTTATAGTATTTAGTATACAAATCTTGCACTTATTTTGTTCAATTTATTCCTAAGTTTTTTATTCTTTTTCATGCAATCATAAATGGAATTGTTTTCTTCATTTTGGGGTTGTCTAATGCTGGTGTACAGAAATACTAATTGATTTTTGTTTATTGATCTTGTATTCTCCAACCTGGCTAAAATAATTTATCCATTTTAGTAGTATTTGTGGATTTCTTTGAATTTTCTTTATGAACTATTGTGTTATCTGCAAATACAATTTTACTTCTTCATTTCCAATCTGAATTATTTTATTTCTTTTTCTTGTCTAATTGCCCTGGCTAGAATTTCTAGTATAATATTAAATGGAAACAGTGAGATGGAACATCCGTGGTTTGTTCCTGATCTTAGAGGGAAAGTTTTCAGTATTTCACTATTGAATATGAAGTTAGCTGTGGCTTTTTATAGTTGCCCTATATCAGGTTGAGCACATAGACTATGATTCCTATTTGTTGAGTTTTTAACATGAAAAAGTATTGGATTTTGTAAAATAATTTTCTCCATTTATTGAGACAGTTGTATGGTTTTGTCCTCTCCTATTAATATGGTGTGTTTCATTGATTGACTTTCATATGTTAAACCCAATCTTGCTTTTAGGGGACAAATCCCACTTGGTCCCTTTCGTATGTTGCTGGAATTAGTTAGCTAATATTTTGTTGAGGATTTTTGCCTCTATATTAATAAAGTATATATTTAGTTTTCTTTTCTTGTATTATCTATGTCTGATTTGGGCATCAGGGTAATACTAGCTTCATTGAATGAATTGGGAACTGGTCTCTGCTCCTTTTCTTAAACAAGATGTGAAGAATTGGTATTAATTCTTTAAACATTTGGTGGAATTCACCAGTGAAGACATTTAATCCTGGGCTTTTATTTGTGGAAAGTTTTTTGATTGCTGATTAAATGTTGATAAAATCTTGTGGAATAGGATGAGACATTCAGGGTGAAGAAATCCATTTCCCCAGAGACACAGAAATTTAAGAAAAAACCCTCAAAATTACAGTATTTAGAGAATACAATTTTAATTTTTTATAAACCCCAAATTTTTCTATAAGTTGTTTCTCATGAAAGTCTCTCCTTGTGCATAGCCCATGTAAGTTGGAGACAATGACTTCAGAAGTCTAAACCCTTTTGTCTCTGATATTCCAGTCAGAAACCTCTCACAATAACAGATCTGGGACTAAGTCCCAGTGAAATGAAAATAGCCTGTATGCAGCAGTCCATTGAAGGTTCCCTGTTCATCCTCCACATGAGTATCAGTGAACAGCTGAGTCAAGTCAGTGAACAAGAGAACCTGTAGGCTTGGGAAGACGTCTGTGGGTGATTCAATGAATGGGAGGTAGGGCTGGGATAGGTACTAGGCCAAGTGTAGAATTACCATACCAAATAAAGGTGGCTTCTAGCTGTTCTTAATAATAGCACCAGCTTGTGTCTAGCTGTGGCTATCACACAGGAGCCTAAATATGCATGCTAAATATCAAGTACTCACTCTGAGACCTTGCATCATTGAGTTCTAACTCAAGTCACCATCCAGGTTAGCACCTTGTTCTACTGGCACCAACTCAGTGTAAAATATAGGATTGCTTTGCAGAGGTTTTTTATTTTGTCATCCAGCATGTTGTGGGTCATACAGAACCGCCATGTGCAGCACTGTCATGCCTCTTAATCAAGACCATAATTTTTCCTGTAGATAACCCCAATGTATCACTTCAGTCTCAACTCAATTTTCCTCAAAATCAGCTTGATTATTATTCACATCAGCTTGTTTACTCTGAAGCTTGAAAAGTAAGAAATGTTTCCATTAGCTCCCATGTCTACAGCCTTAACAGACACATAACAACCAGAGGATGACATTCCCTGAGATTTTTGCCTCAAGGAGCAAATGCAGAGTGATGCCACCCAAGGGAAACTGGAATCCAGCTCAAAAAAAATCAACAAGTGTTCATAGGACTTTTTCCTGTGTGTGGCAAAGTTGAGCTAGGTTTCTTAATGAAGGCTTGAATTTGTAGAGTCTGGTGCTCTTCTTCCCTTCCACAAGATTACCAAAACCAGGTCTGAGGGAAACCTCCAACAGGAGATGAATTCTCAATAAAATATCAGCAAGCATATGAGGGAGACTAACAGCTGAAAATTTTACTCAACAGATAAAAGAATGTACAACTAAAATACAGAGATTCAGAACAATATATAAAGAAGTTAAAAGTAAAAGATTTAATTTCCTCAGATAAAAAAGAAAGAAATAGTAATTATTGGGGAGGGGAACATATTGTTGTGAAAGCTTGCCAAATGAAAATTGTGAAAAAGAAAACTACAGTTACTTAAACAAAAGAAAATTCAGTAAATTTCAAGTTAGGACCTAGCAAGTCTCAGAACATCAAGAATAAATTTAAAAACCTAAAAGAGAATTAAGAACTTTACAGATAAAGAATAAGAACTAGACTGATATCACTTTTCATCAACGGTGTTAAATACCAAAAGAAGAGAAAACGGCTTTAAAAATCCTTGATCAACAGAACTGTTGGCAAAGATTATGAGTATTAAACATAAAATTACTCTGAATTATGACTATAGATTTCCAGCTTTAACACATATAACAATCTACTCCAAGAAGCAAAAGATTCCAAGAATAAAGTAGTGGAATGCATAGAATCATTTTCATATTTTTTAAAAGTCCTCATCTGCAAGGAAGTCATATTTAATGATTAAGAAAGATTTATAAAAAGCGTAAGTTATTTCACTAGTTTTAATGAGTGATGTTTGAATATATAGTTCAGTCTTTTAACAGTCTATAGAAATGTTTAAACTTCATTTACATCTCTTTGCTTTTCAGTGTTGAAAGCTAGATTGTGAATGTCAAGAAAATGTTTAAATTATTTATGAATAAATGTTTTCAGAGAGATAAAAAGGCAAGTGCACACTATCTAGAATTATGTTTTGAAAACAAGTGATAGGTGATTTTAAAGTTTATTCAAAGCTTTTAGTATCTTGAAAATTTCACTTTATTTTGATACCATGAAGGCTAACCAAAGTTCAATAGAATAAACTATTAGAGGCCATTGGCCAAAAAGGGATCATCCTCTATTGTTTCCACAAGTGAATCCGTCCCTGGCTCAGACAATACCTAGAACCCAGTCAAGTAAAGAGAAGCCTTGATCAAAAGTATGTGCCTTTTTCCTCTCCATGAAAATTCAGCTAAGTATGAAAAGAAGGAGAAGAGCCAGACCTAAACATCTCTATAAAATACTTAATGAATGAAAGGAAATATTCTCTTTCCTCTGATTATTAAGGATTGGTGTATTTAATATTCAGTTATATAAAATGACACTATTTATAAACTACATTTTAATGTGTGAAGCATGTCAATCTTAAATTCTTTTCCTCTTTTCAGAATATTGGGAATCTTTGAGAAACTTTAGTTCCCTTTCCTGGAAAGTTCTAGCCCTCTGAGTGAGAAAATGTTTTATAAGGAGAATACTTATGTTTTCCCAATTAACTTCTCGAATTGGAATCTAAATATTTTATTATTAAAAAATAAGTTTTTCTACAGTACTCCAAATAGCCATGAAAATGTGGCGTTTTGGTTGCTTCCCGATTTTATTCGTAGTTGTAGATATTTAGACTTTCACAGTGATTTTGCTCTCTCCTTTTTAGAATGTCCCACTCTTGTACATCTTATTTTAATTACATTATGGGAAGCAGAATGCTGATGAAGATGGACAGTGACCCCAGAAGGACCATACATAATCTCGAATCATGTCAGATTGAAATGTAAGACAGGAAGTAAAGAAAGGGTTCCTTCATATGTTACCATATAAATGCCAAGAAGATATTACTTTTTTTTAAAAGTAGGGTTGAATAGGACACCAAATTTTGGTGTCCCAATGGGACACCATGAATCATTTGTAGATCATGTATACAACTACTTACTATCTTTACATTTTTAAAAGGACCCTAAGGTCGGTAACATTTATATCTTAGAATTTACTAACCAAATTGTCATCCCACAAGATGCTTTCCTAAACAATGTTTTCATATCAAATGGAAAAACACAATCAGATGTTCAAAATGCCTTATGTTTAATTTTTCCTAACTCATGAATACACTTCAGGCAATCCTAAGAGTAATTTGCCCTATATTTTGTCCACTTTGAGCCAATAAAAGCATATGCAACATTGAAATATTAATTGCAAATGTAAAAACAAAACGAATTAAATGTATCACTTTCTTTTAGGTGCTATAGCCTTAAAAACATACTGTGCCTTAAAGATAGAATATCTGAAAGAAAACACATTCTTATCTATCCACAAACTTCATTAACCATAGAAAAGCTGTTTTAGGAATATTATAAGGAACATTATCTCACTTGCTATGGCTATAAAATTTGAATTGAGTCACTTAAACCTATTTGAAGTCAACATTAAAACATAATGAATTTATTTTTCCTCACCTATTAGAAAAAGAAAAGGAGGCATTAAGACTGCATTGGTAAGAAAGAAAACAGGTAAGAACATGCAAGGATTAACTAACTTGATAGAAACTAAAATCAATATATAAACAAAATTATTATCAACTAAAGATTCTTGATTTTGAAAGAATGTATTCATAGCCAAATAACTATATTTTATTCTTCTATTAATGAAACCTAAGCTATTCCCGCAATTGCAGTTTTGCACTACTCTTGCTCAATGTCTTCAACCAGACCATTGGGGAAAATCGGTTTGAGGAACTTGAACTCGCTGGCCCCTGAGCCTCCCGTCAGACACACCTCATACTGGTAGCTCTGGGACAGGGTCCCGGTGCCGCTGACGTCCACCAGGCGGCCCGGAAAGGGGCCCTCGGGCACCGAGCAGCCACCCACCCAGGCGGCCCTGCTCCGCCTGCACAGCCGCACCGCGATGAACGCCAGCACCGAGAACAGGAACAGCGACGACACCGCCGCCAGCGCGATGACCAGGTGCACGGTCAGCGGGTCGGCCGGCGCCGGGTCGGCCGCCGCTTCGGGCAGCGGCAGGTGGGGCTGCGAGAAGCCGTCCACCAGCAGCACGTGCAGCGTGACGCTGGCCGACAGCGCGGGCTCGCCATGGTCCCTGACCAGCACCAGCAGCCGGTGCCGGGCCGCGTCGCGCTCGCTCAGCAGCCGCGCCGTGCGCACCTCGCCATTGTGCGCCCACACGCCGAACAGCCCGGGCTCCGTGGCCTTGAGCAGCTGGAACGACAGCCAGGCGTTCTGGCCCGAGTCCGCGTCCACCGCCACCACCTTGCTCACCAGGTAGCCCGGCTCGGCCGCCCTGGGCACCAGCTCGGTGCAGGGCGCGGAGCCGTTCTGCAGCGGGTACAGCACGAAGGGCGCGTGGTCGTTGGCGTCCAGCACCTGCACGCGCACCAGCGCCTGGCTGCTCAGCGCGGGGGACCCGCGGTCCGTGGCGCCCACGCGGAACTCGAACGCCGGCAGCGCCTCGAAGTCCAGCGCCCTCAGGGCGAACAGGCGGCCGTTGTCCGCGTTGATGGACACGAGCGAGGCCAGGGGCAGGCGCGGGTCGTGGGGCGGCAGCAGTGAGTAGGTGAGCTGGGCGTTGGCGCCCGCGTCGCTGTCTGTGGCGCTGACGCTGCCGATGTGCAGGGCGGGGCTGTTGTTCTCGCGGAGGAACAGGGTGTAGGCGGTTTGGGTGAAGGCGGGGGCGTTGTCGTTGACGTCGGAGACCAGCAGGGTGATGTTGTGCTGGGTTTCCAGCCTGGGGGTCCCCATGTCGGTGACGGTGATGGTGACGTTGTACTCGGCTGTGGTCTCTCTGTCCAGGGGTCCCTCCGTTACTAGGGTATAGAAGTTTTCTACAGATGGTTTTAGGACAAAGGGGAGATTGTTCTGGATGGAACACCTCATTCTCCCATTGTCCCCAGAGTCTGGATCGGAAACACTGAAAACGGCCACTACCGTCTCTGGCGAGTTTTCCGGGATAGGGCTGGTAACTGACGTCAAGGTCAGCTCTGGTGGGTTGTCATTGACATCAACTACCTGAACTATTACCGTTGATTTTCCTGTAAGGCCTCCACCATCCTTGGCTTCTATGTCAAACTCATAACTATTAATTGCCTCAAAATTCAAGTATTTGATTAGTTGGATCTCACCAGTACTGGGATTTAGTTGAAAAGTTTTGGAAATTTCTTCAGAAGCATGAGCAAGTGAGTATGATATTGTCCCAAAATTTCCTGTATCCAAATCAGTAGCTGAGACAGTGACGATAACAGAGTTAACGGGGCTGTTCTCTAGAACTTCAACCTCATAGAGCGACTGTGTAAATTCTGGGGCGTTGTCGTTTATGTCTAAGACCAGGATGTGGAGCTGAACGTTGCCAGACCTGGGTGGCGACCCGCCATCCAGCGCCGTGAGCGTTAAACTGAACTGCGGCTGCTCCTCACGGTCCAGCGCTTTGTCCAGCACTAATTCTGGGTACTTCCTTCCATCCCTACGGCTGTTTGTGAGGATGTGGAAGTGGGGATTAGAGGTGATCGTGTAGTTTTGGAGGCCGTTTCTTCCCACGTCCACGTCCTCAGCATTTCCCAGTGGAATGACTGTTCCTGGTGGAGTGCTTTCTGGGATTTTCAGCTGCATCTCATGTTCAAAGAATACTGGAGAATGGTCATTTACATCTATGACCTGGAGCTCATTTGGAATAAACTGCAAAGGGTTTTGCAGTAAAATCTGAAAATGCAGTATACACGGCTCTGTAGGGCCACATAGCTCCTCGCGGTCCAATTTCTCATCTAGGAGCAAATCACCGGTCTGATGGTTGAGCTGAATACGCTGTCTGTTCCCTTTAGACACAACTTGGGCCCCCCTCACGGCCAGTTCCCCTGCACTCAGCCCCAAATCCTTTGCTAGGTTGGTTATTAAAAAGCCCCTCTCTTTCTCCTCAGCCACAGAGTAGCGTCTCGATTCGGACCCAGCCAGAAACCCACCAAGAAAAACAAAGAGAAACAGGACTTGCCTTTGTCTAAGAAATCGCTCCCCTCCGGCCTCCATTTCATTTTCTGCCATGTTCTTCCAAGAAATATTGCCAAGCTGAGCCTCCGACAGCGCTGGGAAATGCAAAGTCTTTTGCCTCCCAACCTTGGGAGAAGATCTAGCCGATAATCCCTTCCAGCGCTCACATTTGCTTGCTTTAAATCTGCCCAAGCTCACAACTCCTGGTGGACGGTACCGGGGTCGGTGCGTCACTGAGTACGCACAGTGCCTGTGGTTTAATTCTCCTTCTTAGCCAACAGCGCCACCACGCGTTCGCTCGCAGTTTCAAACTCTTGGAGGAGGTGCTTTGGGGTTTTTTGTTATTTTGATCTTTTAAATTGCTTATTCCCCTTACTAAAACCAGTTGACGCTACTGGAGGAGTTTCCTGTGTCACTTGAGTTAAAAAACACAACCGAGGGAAATTAAATGCGCCCTTATTTAAAGACGGTACTGTTCCTGGCAGAGTCCTCATTTATATGATTTTGTGGAAGTGAACACCTTAGCTAGGACTACCACCCCTGTCTGTAATTATTGAACACATTTGAAAATATTTTGCTCTACGTTACAACATGCTTCACTATCATATTTGTGTTTTTCTTTATTTTCCAACTTTTGTCAAATGTGCATGAGTTGCTTTTATAGTAAGAAAAAATGTTATGAAAAGATGAACTCATGCATAAAAAGTTATAATAGATTATGTCAGTGGGTATATCCAGAGACCACAAATGCCTCATTCCTTCCACATTTTAAAATTCATTCGAGGAATACAGAGCTTTTCCTTTTTTATTTCACAGTAATTTTACCATTATTGGTTTCATCAGTATAACCGTATTTCATCTGTGGAAACAGATACTTGTTAAGTTTGTAGAAGCTGGGCATATAGTGGTAACAAGGCAGACATAATTTTAATGGGGGGCAGAGTTTGAGAAAAAGTTCCCAAAGATGGCCCATTTGATATGGAACATGAATGATGAGAAGTTTTCCAGGCTACAACTACAAAATGGGAAGATTCTGTATACGAGAAACTGGTATGTAAAGGCCCCAGGACAGTGAAGCATAGCTATTCTAGACAATGAAGGAAGGTCAGTGTAGCCAAAATTACTATCCCAAAAGTAAGTGGGAAGAGAAGGCTGGAGAGATAGATTGGGGCCAAATAATGGGTGCTTGGATTTTATCCTCAGACTAAAAGGAAGCTAGTGCAATGTTTCAGGCAGGAAAATGAACAACACAAATATCATGTGCTTGACCTCGCTCCTTCACATTTATCAGGAATATTTCACAAAGGCTCATCTATTAAGTTTAGTCTTAATATTAGTGATATGTAAAATAACAGCAATTATACATCTATCTATTATCTTATTTGATCATAACTGCAAGCTATTGACATAGCTGTTATTACTAGTTGGGGGGGGGGGACAGAAATTATGTGACTTATCCAAGATCCTAAAGGTAATAAGTTGGTTAATCAGAGACTTTGGATACCAAGATGGTGCTCCACACCACTAATAATCTCAAAATAAGGTCTTTTACATTCATCTTATAATTTTAACAGTATAGCTCAAGCATCAAATGATATAAACATTTTAAAGAAGGCAGAAGAACATCAAAAATTAAAGTTTTATTTTAATGTCTAGACCAAAAATTGAACTGCAAGAAATAGAGAGAGTTGGATGAATCCAACTTTTAAATTATAAAATACAAAATACAGTTTCCCCTTTTGTATTCCTTAAGCTGTGGGCAGGAGAGGAGAGCCAAATTCAGCAGGAAGGGAAAAGGAAAAATATGTTGAAGGAAAGAGACACCAAGAACTGATAACTGCATGGTGGTCAAATAATAGTGATCACTTCAATTAATAACCTATATATATAATATATGTAAATTCACTATGCATCAGAGAGCACTTAATTCCAGCAAAAGTTTATCCTGTGAGTATTTAAATATCAATATATATCACAGGTGAAATAAAGACACTTGTTTCTTTCAATCAGTCATTCAAAAATTTTATTAAGAACCTATAATCTTCAAGTCATTGTGCTTAATCATGCAATAAATGGGGAGGTGTTGAAAAACATAATTCAAGCACCTAGAAAGAATAAAGCATTGAAAGGTAGGAAATTGAAAGGGGAAAAGAGAAGCAGTCCATGCAAAAAAAATGGAATGAGCAGACAGACCAAGATACCTATTTCCCCACGAGCTTATTTCCAATTGAATCAGAAATGCTCCAGAAATTTTAGGAAAAAAATCCAATGTTAAACTACATTTGAAGTTTCTAAAATTTGGTTAAGGACAAAGACATACATTCCCTCAAATATTTAAAAAAATTAACTTCTGCTTATTTCAATACCATCTTTTAAAAATCTCAGTCTTAATTATTAAAATCTTTCTACTTAAAATTCAAGAGATTTGATAAATACAATTAAATTTTGTGTACTGGCCTTGTAAACTGCAGCTTTGCTAAATGTACTCATTAACTATAATTTTTTTGGAGAATTATTTTACAGTTTTCCACATACATAATCAGATTATCAGTAAATATAGTGTTACTTCTTTATATCCTCCCCCATGTTGTTTTAAATAGAAAGCTTGAAGAATTAGCATGTCTTTGAAAATGACTGGACATGTGCTATGCATTTAACTACAGTTTGGAATATTAGTGGTTGATTTATTGAATACTTTTAATGTGAATTGTTTGTGGAATCCAACAGTCAAAGTTCTCACATCTCTAAAGAATCATAACTTCCATGTATGGACACTTTGTGATAGTAAATATTTAGAAAAATGTGACAGAGTGCTTTGTTTTTCATGAAAATACCTATATTATTGGTTTTAGCCAATGTGACTTCACAAGATAAAACTTACACTAGCCTCAGAGAATAGAAAACAAATATTCTGGGCTTAAAAAAAAAACACCCTGTAGGAATAGCAAACATTTAAAAATGTAGGACTGCAAAATTACCTAGGCCCTAGGGAAGGGGAGTATAGAAAAGGATGCTCTAACTTAAAAATTCAGACTTTTGGGAAAACAAAATTTACTTTCACATTTTAAGTGGAATTAAGGTACAGAGAGACTAATCGCCAATGAGAATACAAAGAAAATTAGCATTCATTATACCACAAAGCAACACATTTAGACACACTAGTAACATGCACTGAATGAGATATTTACATTTCAAATAAAAAGAAACAACCTCAATGGGCAAAGCAGTAAAAAAAAAAAAAGGATTTTTCACAAATTAACTGAGACTAGCGTCAGTAGACCTCTACTAATTCTTAACTGAATTCAGAGCTATTCCTGAAACTGGGGTTTGCCTCACTAGCCCTCTCCTCACCTGGAGCAAGAAAGTTGGGCATGGAATACCTCCCTAACTGTGATAAATTATTTTAAAGTCATTTTTTAACATATGAGAAAGACCCAGTTAAATAGATAGGTTCCTATGAGGTGTTATTAAACCCTTTGTACACCATAAGCATCTATAGATGCTTTTAAAATCATTTTTCATGAGACTTTTCAACTGAAAATATCCAAGAACACCTGAATTGTGAGTAATATGTTTATTTATACTAACTAATGCTAATTGATTTTTGCAAATTAAATTCAAAATATCGTGGTATGTGGGGATGGTTTTCCTTTTGGACACTTGGTAGTTAACTGGTTAGATTCACATTTACCCAGAGAATGAATGGCCAAATTAAAAATTTCCTGGAGATCTTCAAAGCCTGAAAAATTATCTTGCTACCTAAAATCTATATCCATCTTGAGAAAACCATCATGGTAATAGTAGAATATGCAGTCTAAAATGTATGAAAATCTTTAGAGCAATAAAAATAAAAATTTTGTGTACTTAATTGTACAGGCCTCCCGGAGAGGAGGTGCCCATGTGCCATCAGACTGACAAACAGCAGAGGTGGGAGGAACAAGAGGAACCATAGGCGGACAGGAGCGGGGCCAGGGGCAGGCGCGGGTCGTGGGGCGGCAGCAGCGAGTAGGTGAGCTGGGCGTTGGCGCCCGCGTCGCTGTCTGTGGCGCTGACGCTGCCGATGTGCAGGGCGGGGCTGTTGTTCTCGCGGAGGAACAGGGTGTAGGCGGTTTGGGTGAAGGCGGGGGCGTTGTCGTTGACGTCGGACACCAGCAGGGTGATGTTGTGCTGGGTTTCCAGCCTGGGGGTCCCCAAGTCGGTGACCGTGATGGTGACGTTGTACTCAGATCTCATCTCTCGGTCCAGGGCTGTGTTTGTCACTATTGTGTAAAAATTCTCAACAGAGGGTTTAAGGATGAACGGAAGGTGATCTGGGATGGAGCAAACCATCCTCCCATTGTCTCCCGAGTCAGGATCTGAAACACTGAATACAGCAATGACGGTCTCCTGCAAGTTTTCTGGAATTTCATTGATAAGCGTTGACATGGTCAGTTCCGGAGGGTTGTCATTCAAATCTATCACGTGGACAAGCACCACACAACTTCCAGAAAGACCCCCACCATCTATCGCCTGAATATTTAATGTATACGTCTGAATGGATTCAAAATCCAGTTTCTGTGTTAAAAGGAGCTCTCCGGATTTTGCATTTATTCGAAAAGTTTTGCGAATGTCTTCCGAAGCCTGGGAGAAGACATAAGATATTTCTCCATAGGCTCCAATGTCTACATCTCTAGCCGAGACCATAGCAACCTGGGATCCGATGGGGCTGTTTTCCAGAACCTGAACTTCATAGAGCAACTTTGCGAATTCCGGGGCATTATCATTGATGTCCAAGACTTCAATGCGGACCAGGGCGGTGCCAGACCGGGGTGGCGCCCCGCCATCCAGCGCCGTTAGAGTTAACGTGATCTCAGACTGTGCCTCGCGGTCCAGCGCTTGGTCCAGCACCAGCTGTGGTGATATTATGCCGTCGGAACTGTTTTGTAATTTAAGATGGAAGTGGGAACTGGGACTGATCGTGTAACTTTGGAGGCCGTTGCTTCCCACATCTAAGTCCTGGGCACATTCTATTAAGAAAGCAGTCCCGGGAGTGATACTTTCTGGGATTTTCAAAATTATTTCTTTGTCCAGGAAAACCGGGGAATGATCATTTATGTCCCTAATCCGTAGCTCGGCCTGAAAAAACTGCAAAGGATTTTCCAGTAACACCTGGAAAGGTAGCACACAGGGCTCGGTAGGGCCGCACAGCTCCTCCCGGTCCAGTTTCTCATTTAACAACAAATCCCCGGTCTGCCTATCCAAGTGCAAACGCATTTTTTTCCCTTTGGAAACGACGCGGGCCCCTCGCGCAGCTAGCTCATCTACCTCCAATCCCAGGTCCTTTAACACATTGGCCACAAAGGACCCACTCTCCGTTTCCTCGGCCACTGAATAACGCCTAGGCGCGGAACCAGCCTGCGCTACGCCCAGCAAAACAAAGAATACCAAGACTTGCCTTTGTTTCAGAAGGCGCTCCTTTCCTTCTCTGGCCTCCATCTCCTCCTGCTCTCCCAGCAACCTGACCCAGCTCCGGCTCGCGTGGCTGCTGACTCCCAGTAGGTCCCAGCTACGGGGATAAGCGGAGACGCCTAGGGCCCCGATTTCCCGGATCTACCGCCGGGAACGCCTCCCCTTCCTGCTTGATTCTTTAGCAGAGCCTCTGGCTTAAAGGAGGGCGGACTGGTCGCTTTCTTCCTTCGACTTCTAATGCTGCAGCGCCACCCCGCGTCCTTTCCGAGTATGTACTCTCTCCAAAGCATTCAGAAAATCCCAACCCCTTCTTTCACACTGATGACAACCAAAATGGAATACTTTCAAGTGGGATCTTCCAACGTGCGGAAGTCTTATCTCGTTTCAAAAGGCTTTTTCATTGCACCCACAACGACATGGCAAACACAGACAGATTTCCATTCCGATATCCTCACAGATTCAAGCAGGTATGTTTAAACTGGGGGGGAAAATGAACTTCTGAGACTAGGAGGGAGTAATTTCAGTCCTAGGATGAAAAAGGGCTTTGACTAGTCAGTTTCCAGTTTTTATTTAGAGTTCAGCATGCGCACATCTCAGTGGGCGTTAGGTTACCAACTTCACACTTAAGCCAACAGAAGAGTACAGAGACCCAGGTAACACAGAATTCACATAACATTCTCATGGACACAGATATTCTTTTTGCTCATACTTCTCTCCTGCACTCTCCCACTTCACATTTTCCTGAGATTTGGTGCATTCGATCCACATGAAATTTTCCCAGCATAGCTGGGTAATTCTTATGAATGTGTCAATATTTTTATTTTCCTTTCTAACAGATAAGAGCGTTAATTTATATAACTTCAATTATTGCATCTAGCAACACTAATCATTTCATAATATCAAATACCCAGTAAATATTGAAACATTTTCCAATTATCTTTTTGTGTGTTTTTTAAATATATGTGATCAAAAGAAATGAGTTCTCAATTTTAAAAAGAAAGCCATGGAGGAAACAAATGCATATTGTTTAGTGAAAGAAGCCAGTCTGAAAAGGCTACCTATGCTATTTGCAAGTACCTGACATTTTGGAAAAAAGTACAGGAATGTTAAGAAGATTAGTTGTTGCAGGGGGGAGAGAATAAGAGGTAAAACATGGGGACTTTGGGGGCACTGAAACACTGTAATAATGGATACATGACATTACATACTTGTCAAAACCCATAGAATGTACAAATCAAAGAATGAACCCTAATGCAAACTACAGACTTTAGTTAATAATAATGGGTCAATATGGATTCATCAGTTATAATCAATGTACCACACTAATGCAAGATGGTAATACTAGGGTAACTGTGAGTGAAAGAAAGTGGGCATATGGGAACTCTATATTATCTGCTTAATTTTCTGTAAAACCTAAAACTGTTCTAAAAAATAAAGCATATTAATTAAATATTTATATGAAAACATGTTTCAAATATACTGTATGGAAAAGTTAAAAAGAACTATACCAACATAATTCTACCTAATTGAAAATTTTAAAGTTATTTATATTTTATCTTATTTGTTGAATCTATATATTTTACCCTACACATATACCCTCTCTGTTTTCTGACCCATTTGAAAGCAACTTGAAGACATCATGACACTTCACCTCTAAATATTTCATCAGGCATCTCCCAAGTATAAATACATTATCCCACACGTTCATAATGCCACTATCACACTTAGCGAAATTAACAATAATTCCCTAATATTATAAAAAATTCTTTCCTTATAAAATCTCAGCCCTAGCCGGTTTGGCTCAGTGGATAGAGCATGAGCCTGGGGACTGAAAGGTCCCGGGTTTGATTCTGGTCAAGGGCATAAGCCTGGGTTGTGGGCTTGATCCCCAGTAGGGGGTATGCAGGAGGCAGCCAATCAATGATTCTGTCTCATCATTAATGTTTCTATCTCTCCCTCTCCTTTCTCTCTGAAATCAATAAAAATATATTTAAAAAAAAATTTTAAATCTTATCTTTCCATTATCCTTCCCTGATTTTCTTCAACTTGAAGAGAATTTATATTCACTCTTGAGATTTGTTTTTTAACAAATGTGCTTGCTTTCTTAACTACCTGTTATAAGAAATGTCTTAGAACTTTTTTATTTTATTTTTTTTAAATATATTTTATTGACTTTTTACAGAGAGGGAGGGAGAGAGACAGAGAGTTAGAAACATCGATCAGCTGCCTTCCGCACATCCCCCACTGGGGATGTGCCCGCAACCGAGGTACATGCCCTTGACCGGAATTGAACCTGGGACCCTTCAGTCTGCAGGCCAACGCTCTATCCACTGAGCCAAACCGGTTTTGGCTCTTAGAACTTTTTTAAACCAAATTTTATGATTGTATTGGGTGTTATATCTGTTTATTCTAGAAAATTCTCCCATCTTTTATGATATTTAATTTCTTGAAGTGTTCAGACCAGTTGTCTTATAGGGTGTCCTACATTATGAACTTGTCTGATTGTTCCCTCATGGTGTCATTAAACCTGTACCTCTATCCTCTGTATTTCCAGAAAACTGGAATGAATGATTTAGTAAATGTAACAATGGCATAACATTTTTAAAGCTCTCATTTATTTATTGTACTTGGGTTTTAAAAAATTGAGCAATTACAGGTTCCCTTTCTTAGTATTTAGAAATAAATTCCTACTTGTATTCTGTTGTTAATGATTTTTGCTTTTCATGATTACTTTTATATTAAAACTATAACCCAAAATATTTTAATGCATTGACATTGAGCATTTAACACACTTCATCCAGGTGGATAAACCCCAAGACCCATTTTCTTGAAAAAAAAATGCTCTTTACACAGACTGCAAAACTTAATTAAGATCAGATAGAGATACAGTGATGATCATGTACATCATCAAGGAAAATAATGACTAGGAAATCACTTGAAATTTTACATTTAACCAAGCATATGATTATTTAGTTATGATAGGTTCTCTGAATTGAAACAGTTACAGTGAATTGGGGGATGGCACAAAGGAGAGGAAAGTTTGAGTCGTAAGTGTTCTCACAATTCATATGGTTTCATTCTTTCCGTTTCAAAGGTATTCATACATCTAGAAATAAGCGGAAGTTTCTCCAGAGATGAGGGAACCAGTGCTGATTTTTTTTTTTGTCAGTGGTTCCAAGATTTCAATGCATTATACCCACGGTTATTTTCTTTTCTTGTAAATCCTCACACAGGGATATTTTTCCCATTGACTTTCAGACAGTGGGAAGGAGGGAGGAGGAGGGGGGAAGAGAGACACATCAATTGGTTGCTCTGGCATGCACCCCAACTGAGGCCAAAAATCCAACCCTCCAGTGGTCTTCAGCTCACAATCTAACTTTACACTCAGATGGCAAAAGAGGGGTTTTTCAGCTGGTCTTCAGCTCACAATCTAACTTTACACTCAGCGATCAGATGGCAAAAGAGGGGTTTTTCAGTGACTTACCTCTGAGGCCCTGCAGGAAATATATGAGAAATATCCTAGCATGGGAAGGGAGGGCTCTAGCACCTTTTATCGTCTTAGGGTGGAAATTTTGGACCTGTGGTAACACTCAAAATTTTGCTTTTGCCTTATTAAGGATACAAAAGATATATTTTTCTGTAATCTATCAAGATATACACTTCATGAAGCTCAAGCAAGCAGGATTTCAAAGTAAAGGTGATCCAAGTAGGGGTTTATTCTCTTCCCTGGTACAAATATGCAACTAATGGTTTTGAAAGAGAATTTGCATAAGAAAAATCTTGGCACTTTTTAGTTTAAGGAGAATCACCATAGCCTATTGGCACAAACTGTTTCCTTGGGGAAAAATCTTGACCAGATATTATCATGAGTTCTAGTTTGATTTGAGTATATATAGATTGTCTTGCCAGTCCATATTACATGACATTTTCTTTTATTGTATTGGAGATGCTGGAATATTAATTGCTAAAGAATGAATTGTTTTTGATGTTTAAGAAAAAAGAAAACAGTAAAAGTTAACAAATACAAATTTAGCACTGCAATAAATGAGCTACACAGCAACTCAGTAAATTATGCCTTAAATAATGAAAGAGACATTTATTTCCATCAATGAAAATTTCCCCCTGTACAGTTGACCCTTGAACAATGCATGTTTAAATTATGGGTCCACGTATATGGGGGTTCTTTTCAATAAATACCTGTACTGTTTTCCATCTGTTGTTGGGGGTTTGCAGATGTAGAGAGCCGATTGTATGCACTGATCTACACCATTTATATAGGGAACTTCAACATCTGTAGTATTTTCAGGGGTCCTGCAACCAATCCCCCTCAGATACCAAGAAACAACTTAAGTTTGGGGGGAGTCAAAAGTTATATGGGGATTTTAATTGTGTGGGGATTAGCACCTCTAACTCTGGCATTGTTCAAGGTCAACTGAAGTTTTATAACTGTATTTGATTTTGTGTCATCATCACATGACTTTTTTCAAATATAAAGTAAGAACTACATAGTATTAACCATCTCAAATAAATAGTTACTT